AAACAGACCTTGATGGGAAACAAATCACTTGTGCAGATAAACAAGCTGAAAATCTTGCTGTGACTTCATCGAAGTTTTCTAGGAGTTTATATTTTTCAAAATACAAGGTCTTTAACAAAAAATAACGTATACTTATTGTCGTTGGATTAACACCAAATTTTCACAGCTTTAAGGTGACAATGAGAGGAACTTGAATGACGATGTTCACGCACAGTTCCTTAGCACGGGCTAAGAGGTCAAATTCTTTAGCCCGTGCTAAGAAAACGTGCGTGAACGCTTAGCACGGACTAAGGAATGCTAAGTACGGGTTAAATCTGATCCGAATTTAAGACGCGGTCTAGACCTTAGCACGGGCTAACGAAGTATGCGCGAACGCTTAGCCCAGGGCTAAGCGCCCTCTGCGGCGACCTTTGGGTGTGAAAATTGTCCCATGTTCGTATAACGACAATATTCCACCAGTCATTACTCCGCGCTCGCTTCCACACTAATCGGGTCACTGTAGTAGAGCGTACAGCAGCTCCAATCGTAGACAAAATAAATTTGGTTCGCTTTTTACGACATGCATTAATAAAACTCTGTATTCTGTTACTACCGTTGTATACTGTTTATGTGCATCCAAATAAGTTGGGTCCGTCTTCTCTGCGTTCCTGTGCACGTCGCTTCAAAATTAGAACGAAACGTGCCAGCAGCAGAAATAGAACCTCGCGCGTGTCATCCATTTTTCGTTCGTAAATAGCGGCTTACCAAAGGTCACCGACTGAAGGCGCCCCTTAGCCCGTGCTAACGACTGGCCCTCCCTGTGCGTGGACGCAATTGGGTCTAGCCGAAATGCAAATATGCTAGATAAGCCTAAATCAGCTTAAATCTTAGCCCGTACTTCGTGTAACGTGAACACAACTAATGTGTCCAGACAAACTATTTCATGGATTATTTACCAATGTGTTGTGGTTTGAGTTGGGGTCAATGCGACTAAAACAGAAATTAAAATTCAGGACACTATTTTTCAAAACGCGTTGCTTGAATAAAACTGATCAGACACATTCAATTCACCAGACTATTGAAAAACTAGGAAAAGTGAAAACAAAACTTATTATCACCAGCATAAATGTGTAATTATTTTTTTTACAAGAAAAGTAATTTTTCACTTTTGATTAAGTAACGCACCGTAGAATGCAGATACGGGCATGACAAACACACCTTTGAAAAGCTTGAAGTCTGGCGATTCTAAAAATATATACTTCTCCTGGGTCTAGTTGTAGTCATTTTGTCACAATTAGAAGATGAAAAAAAGTATGCAAATAATAGTCTCGCTACCTTAATACCAGTATTTTATAATTAAATGACGGGGACTGACATTCATCCAATTGCTTTGATATTACATACATGGGTACTACATGTGAACCTTTCTCAGATTTGTTCATTTCATGATGATATATCTTTAATTCTCTAATTTTAGTGAATATTTTTGTAATTTTTGGTGAAAAGTGGTATTTTGACTTGGTGTTTGAAACCAAAAGTCCAATTGCTTTGATATTACATATATATTTACTACATGTGGACCTCTCTCAGATTTGTTCATTTTGTGATATCTTTATTTTTGGTAATTTTTGGTGAAATTTTCGACAAGTCAGATTTCACACAGTATGTGTCAATTAGAACAGAAGTCAGGTACACTGTCCAGAACTTGACACAGGCGATATCATGGGAAATGTAATTTGAGTGGCTTACGTATCTGAGGTATTAATTATGTATGCTAAAATCTTGTGTACGCCATTGTCTACCATGAAGGGATGTATTGTCACTAAAAGTTTGTATTAACCCTGATTTGAATAAACCTGTGATTAACAGTTATTTGGAAGGACTGTATAGCTGTTTAAAATATCCCATCTCATCAAATTGTTGATGCCTTAAACCTTGCTCAACCAGTAAACTAATATCAAAATTGTATTCTTATTATTGAAAATATCAATTTCGTGGAGCACTCTAGAACTAACACCCTAGAATCACCCACCCTACTGCAATCTGTTCACCATCTTTTCTTTTATCCACTTGGATACTGAGCTATCGACTAATGTACAATTTATGGAAAATCTTGTAATTCTAAAGCTACTCATTCCTGTACAAGTTTTTTTCTTGGGATTATGGGTACAATGTCTTGAATATTTAATAAACCATGTATGACTACATGGATTTTCAGAATTTGGTGCCATTTGTCTCATAAAATTGTTCCTCATTGTGGCTTTACTAAGAACTAGACTCCAAAACAGGGCATTTAGCTCTGCAATAAAAGAACCTTAACTTTTAGTCCCAGTTCGAACACAGTTCGAAAACAGGGACTTGGGTCCGTCCATCCGTCTGTCTGAACCTGTATCTTAGAAATGCCTGGACCAATCACAATCAAACTTCACACTCTAGAATTTCGGCTACTCTAAAAATTAGGTCACCAGTGTTTTTTTCAGGGTTCCGTAATTTTGCAGGCACCAATATTTTGACCTTGCCTGGAGATGGCTATTTTTTGTGGCTCTAAAGATTCGTCCAAACTTTCATGTCCTTGGGATCTTGTTAATTCGCACCAACCCTGTCAGATTATGGGTTTCTGTACTCGTTGAGTGTGAGCGAGGTCAGG